GCGCCCGCGATAGCCTGCGCCCCTGGCCCTTCAGGGGCCCTGGTGTCCGGCCGAGTCGGGTCTAAAGGGCCTGCCCCCTGCTCTGGCCCCGCGTTTCCGGGCCCTGAGTCTCCACCGGCTCTGGCTCCAGCTGTCTCTTCCCGCCTCGGTGTCTCGGTGCCTCGTCTCCGTGTCTCCCATATCTGGGTCTCCCATGCCTGTCTTACCGCCTCTAGGTTTCCTCTCGGCTCTCCCTGTCCCCTGGTCGCTGTGTCATTGGGAATGGGTCTCCCCGTCACTGTCCCCTCCGCTGCTCTCTCTGTTTCTCCGGGTCTCTGTGTCCCGCCGTCTCTCTCCCACCCTCCGCGCGGGCGCCCTGGGTGCGCTCCCGCTGCCTCGCCCAGTGCTAAGTAGAAACAGACACGGAAGCCGGCGCCCAGGGCGCTAACGGGGCCTGGACCGCACCCACGGGGAGAGATGGAAGCAAGCGGGACGTGCCCCTTGGAGCCGCGTGTGCCTGCTCCACCCTGCACCCCTGCGCGGATCAGAGTCCGCGCTGAGACCTGAAGCCTCACCCGTCCTCCCAGCACCGCCCTCCCTCTCCTCTTCCTCCAGCCCCGGACCCTGTGGGACCCGCCCAGGACCTGCCACCGGCCCCTCCACTTTGTTAGTCGACACTGGGGCGGGGGGAGGCCCCGGAGACCACAGAGAGAATGGCCCAAGGCCTTGGGCACAAGTGACAGGGAAGGACCAGAAGGCCGGGTGTGAAATGGTGCCAGGTGGGGAGCAATGTTTTATGCCAGGTCTGTTGTCGGCAGCTGAGAGGGTGACGTCCTTGGGGAAGGACTGGCATCGACCCTGCCTCAAGTGTGAGAAATGTGGAAAGACGCTGACGTCTGGGGGCCATGCCGAGGTGAGGCGGGGACTGGGGACCGAGGCCTGGGGTGCAGGGCATGGAGTGGGGGCCTGGTGCGGAGAGCTGGAGGATGCAGGGGCACTTCCTCTCACCATCCTTCTCTCCACAGCATGAGGGCAAGCCCTACTGTAACCACCCCTGCTATGCGGCCATGTTCGGGCCCAAAGGTATGCTCCCCGTGACCTCTGACCCCTCCAGACAGCCCCTGGCACTCCCTGACCTGTTCACCTTTTCTCTGCAGGCTTTGGGCGAGGAGGAGCTGAGAGCCACACGTTCAAGTAAACGCAGGTACCAGCCACCCCTCCTGAGTCTGACCACCCTCAGGCCTGGAGGGTGCTGGCTGGGCAAAGCCCTCACTTCTCCATGCTCTCTGTGTACCCCACCCCTGCTGGCTAGCTGCCTACCATGCTGCTGCCACTCCCAGCAGGTGCCAGGCCTTGCTGCTCAGCACCCATGGCTCCCTTGTAGCCCCTCACACCCTCAATAAACTCCAAACACTCGGAAGGCCAGTGGCCACGTTTTGGTTGTGTGTGCATGTGTGCGTGCATATGTCAGGATGGGCAGGGCCCTTAGCTGGGGTCGAACCTGGATGCTGCCAGCACCCACTATTCCTGCTGCCACAGGTATCACCTGCTGTCCCCCTGGGGCCAGCCTTGGGTAGGAGTGGGCCTGTCACTCAGAGAGGCTGGACCTGCCTGCCTGGACGATTCTGGGATGGGCAAGGGCTGCAAGGCTTTGCAGAATGGGCCAGGGGTTGGAACTCAGGCCTGGTAGCATGTGGGGCTAGGGAGGGGCCCGGCCTGGACTGGGGGACAGGGGTGAGTCAGATGCAGCTCAGGCTGGTTCCCTTTTTGAGACACTTACGGGGGAGTTGTGGTGAGGACGCCTTGCCTGCCCTTTTCCCACTTCCTGCTGCCCCGCCCCCCACCTCTTCAGGGGCGGGCAGGCAGTGGCTGCCTAGAGAGCTCAGCCCTCACTCAGACATGCTGTTCCCTCAGCTGCCCTCCACCCTGCCTGGGGATTTACCGGGGGATTTAAGACACTGGCTGTGCCTTGGGGATTGGGGTTTTCTGGCAACACCCATGTCAAACCAACAGCAGCTGCTGACTGTTGTCCCTCAGAGCCCCTCTAGGCCTCTGGGACTCCTGTCTGGCAGCAGGCAGCCCTTCCAGGACCTTAGGGTCTATCTTGGCTCTGGGTGTGGTGGGAGGGGATCATGAAGCCTGAGCTAGACAGGCAGTGTGTGTCTTCATGTGCATGTGAGATGTGGAAGCCCAGTGCTTTTTTGGTGATGGATGACGGTTGGGTGGGAGAAGTGGGGCTGGAGGCTTTGGGACTCAGGCGACACCCGCTGGCCAGAGTGGGCACTGCCAGGTGGGGCATAGGTGCTGAGGCAAGCCTGCCTTGGGCACGCTGGGAGACAGCCAGTGCAGCTCCTCGCCTACGCTCACAGTCTGGAGGGGAGCAGCTGGTATGGGATGTGTTCAGAGCTGAGACCTTAAGGTGTGGGAGCAGCCAGGTCACAGGTGGGGTAGAAAGCATTCCAGGCAGAAGGCCAGCAGGTGCCAAGGCCCTGAGAGGGTAAGGAGCCCACTGTATCAGGATCTAAAGTGGGAGGAGTAATGTACAGGGATGGTGGTGAGGGTGTCAGTGGGAGGGCAGCCAGAAAGACCTCTGGGCTGCAGTGTGAGAAGGGAAGGCAGGGTCCAGCTGGAAGCTGGATGGTCCTGGCCTGAGCTGGAGGCGGGCCCTGGAGGTGAGGGCCAATGGGGAGGGGGAGGGGCAGCTGGCAGCAAGACAGCCACACAGATGGCAGGAGGGCAGCATATGGCCTGCTGGCAGGGACCATTTAGTTGTGAGAAACAGCCCACTAGAAGGGGAATGCACCCAGGCATGGAGACCTCGTGGCACTGGGGTTGGGGTCAAGGGAAGGGCTGATGGGAGAAGGCTGGTTTTGGGGAGGGCTGAAAGGTGGGGCAGGAGGCTGAGGAGGACTTGGGGCCTGTGACGCACTTCCTGTGACCTCAGCCCTGGCTCGGGAGAATGGACGGTTCACGGGTTGTCCCAAGACTATCTATTTATTAGTTCCCTCCTTTCCATTTGGAGCTCTGGTGGCTTAGTGCCTAAGCCATTTGACTGCTAACACCAGCCACTTCTCGGAAGGAAGGCTGGGCAATCCCCTTCCATAGAGATACTGCCTCAGAAACCCAAGGAGGGGTCACTGTGTGTTGAATCGACTTGGCGGCAGTGAGTTTGGTTTTTCCATTCTTTACCTCCTTTCTCTTCTCTCCTCCTTCCCTCCTCTCTTCCCCTCTTCTGTCTTCTTACAGCCCTACCCAAACCAAAAACCACCCAAAAAACAAACCCACTGCCATGGAGCTGGTTCAGACTCAGAGTGACCCACACTGGGTTTCTAACGTGGTGAAGCTTTAGGGAAGTAGATGGCTCCATCTTCCTTCCACGGAGTGGCTGCTGGGTTTGAACCACCAACCTTCTGGTTAGCAGTCAAATGCCGCCAGAGTTCCTTTCTTAGAGCCCTACTGAGGTGTAATTTACATACCATTACAGTCTCCTTGTACATTCAATGATTTTTATCAACTTTGTTGAGTTGTTCAGTGGTCAGCACAGCAGGTTTTAGAACAGTCTTGTTGCCTCCAAAAGCCTCCCCCTGCCCTCCTGGTCACTCCCTGCTCCCGGTCCTGTGCCCCAGGCAACAACTCATTTAGGATACTGTCCTTGAACCGCATCCATGTTGTAACATGTACAGCACTGCGTTCATTTCCGTCGCTTAACAGTATGCCATTGTGTGCACACAGCATTTTGTTTTCCCATCTATGAGCTCACGGGCTGAGGCTGCTCCGTGTTGGCTCTTATAAATAAAGCTTCTATCAACTTCCGTGTGTCTGCCGTCCGTGAACATAACAAAAACCACTCATTTCTCTTTGGGTTCCTCGGGGTCGCCGGGAGTCGGAGTCAACTACTGCGGTACCCCAACAACAGATTCCTGGGAGTAGCACTGTCAATCTGTGTTTAGCTCTGAAACAATCTGCCACGGTTTCCAAATGGAAAGACGGAGAGGTTGGAGGTACCAGACGGAGGGAGGCCTGGGCAGAAATGGGCGCAGGGTGCACCGCAAGGTTGGTAGGGTGGGGGTCTGTGGTCTTGGGGAGTTGGAAGTTGCCGGCTTCTTCCCCCCGCCAGGGGCTCACGCTCTCCGGGGAGGGCGTCCAGACGGGCTCGTGCGCTGGGCGGGCGGCGCAGCAGGGGCGCGCGGCGGAGGGGCGACCCCGCCTTGTCCCCCGCCCAGTTGGCAGGGGCCCAGAGAGTCCGGAGCGCGCCTACTCCTCCTGCTCGCGGTTGCAGCTCCCCGTGGGCGAGAGGCGCTGGCTGGTGGGGATGTCAGGGACCCGCCGAGAATGGGGCCTGGCGAGCGGGGGTCCCGCGCTTTTACCCCAGGTCGCCCCACCCGGGCCCGGATGCGCCGCCACACCGGACAAGAGAGCACAGTACTTCAGCGGCTGATTGGGCCGAGGAAGCAGAGACGGGCAGTGCGGTGACAGAGCGCGAAGGCCCGGTGATCGGCAGTGATTGGACGCGGGGCTGCCGGGGCGGGGCCGTCGCGGGGATTGTCAGCGATGATTAGACGCTAGGACCAGACTAACAGTGGTGATTGGGCGCTGGAGCCAGGCCAGCGCAGTGATTGGATGCAGGGCCGCAGAGGCGGGGCCGGCGGAGGTGATTGGACTCAGTGGCCCGGCCGGCGGCGGCCGCGGGCGATCCGAGAGAAGCAGCTGTTGTATGCATGGGGCGGCGTCGGCGTCGGGTGGACCGGGGGGCCGGGACCTGGGCGAGGGCCTTGCCCGAGGCCATCGCCGCGCTGAGTCGGATGCTGCCCGCTGGGCCCAGCCCCGAGACTTTCCGTCGCGCCAAATTCGACCTTCCCGAGGCGGTGAGACCCGCGAGGCGGGCGACCGGGCGGGAACAGGACTTGTGTGGGTGTGGGGAGGCGGCACTTGCTAACCTCCCGCCCTTTGCCCCCTCAGACTCCAGCACTCTGGCGGCTGCTCTTCCAGGTGCTCTCGCCGCGCCCGGAGGAGGGAGCCACCGTTTCGTTAGCCCTCGGTAGGCTCCGCGCCCCCGTAAGCCCCGCCCCTGTCAGTCAGTGACCACACCCACCTCTTAGGCCCTACCCCGGCCAGCCCGCACACCCCCCGCAGGATCGGCCCTGGCCATGGTTAGTCCTCCACTTTAAGCTCGCCTGGTTAGGAGTTGTGGTGGCCTAGCGCCTAAGGCAGTTTGACTGCTAACTGGAAGGCGGGCGGTTCAAACCCATCAGCTACTCCTTGGAAGGACGATTGGGCAATCTACTTCTGTAGTAACAGCCTCAGAAACCCAACGAGGGGTCACTCGGAGTCAGAATCGATGGATGGCAGTGAGTTTGTGCTTTTTTTTTTGTTTGTTTGGTTAGCCTCTAGGGAGCTCCCATAGCACAGTGCCTAAAGCATCTGACTGCTAACTACAAGATTGGTGGTTCAACCCCACCAGCCACTCTGCAGAAGCGAGCCTGGGCAGTCTACCTCCGTGAATATTTACTGCCTTGGAGACCCAATGGGGGTCGCTATGCGTCGGAATGGACTGGATGGCAGAGGGTTTAGTTTTTGGTTAGCCTGTGGCCCCTCCATTTCTGTAGGCACCACCCCTGTGAGACCGGCTCTTTATTGCCGCCTTGCCTACCCTGCACCCGCCTCAGCACCAGCATCACTCACTCCAGAGCCCCGCCTCACTAGTCTCTGACCCCGCCCATACACGGTAGACCCCGCCCAATTAGCCTCTGGCCCCGCCCACTCTGTTCTCCTTGATTGACTTGGTCTTACTACTGGCAGCACTTTCAAGGTAGGTTTCTGGTTGGGGGTGGTCTGGGGGTCTCGGGAGGTGCTGCTGGGAGCCTGGTGGTGGTGAGCACTCAGGTGAAATGTTGGGACATGCCCACCTGAGCCGACTGCCCTCCCACCCCTAGAAACCCAGGTCCGTTTGGTGAAGTCAGTACTGCGCGCCCAAGGCTACCCTCGTCAGGAGCTTGCTGAGCTCCCAGAGGGTGGTTCCCAGGGCAGCCGTGAGCTCCTGCTGGCCTTTTCTTGGCTCCTGGCCTGTGGGACCCTGCTTGAGCAGCTGCTGGCCCGGACTCGCGTGCGGCTGGGCGACGAGATGCCTGTGTGTGAGGTGGGTACGTGGTCCGGAGGCCCAGGGCTCTACCTGCAGGGCCCGTGGCTCAGGTCTTGACTGTGGTGGCCAGAGCTTCACACCCGCTCCCATTCTGGGTCACCCACTGCCCTGATCTCAAGACAGCCCTGAAAGCGGTCATTAGTGCTTTTTTTTGTGTGAGGCTTTGGGGCTCAGCTCTGTTGTGTGGCTAGTTCTGTACCTCTGTTCCTGCCTTTCCCCACTGTCCTCCACACCCTGCCCCCTATGTGCCCATGACCGAGTTTCTCCCTCCTTCAGGACAGGGTCTGGGCCCTCTGGGTCTCTGGCATCTGAGACCTTGCACTCCCAAGGGCCCCTTTGTCTCCCCCTGTGCCCTGGTGTTTGTGGGGTCTCTGCTGGGGGTCTGGGAACAGGCCTGACATTTGCCATTCTCCAGTGTGAAGACCTGACGTGTGGTGGGGCCAGCCTTGGCCAGCCTGCACTCAGCAAGGAAGCTGACAGCCGTAGGGATGTGCGCTACGTGCAGTGGTTGATGGGAAAGCTGCAGTGCCGGTGGCGGAACCTCACCTCCAGTCACCAGGAGCAGTGTGTCCTCCTGAGCAAGGTAGTGCTGCCACTTCAGGCTGCCTTTCCCCGGGAGCCCTGCTTGGCTTCTCCTTGCCTGCTGTCTAGCCTTGCCGGTGTTTGTCAGGTTTGGGTTACCAGGCCTGGCGTGGTGTCCTTGGTTGGGGTCAGAACACAGAGCAGCTGGGGGCTGGGCAACACTGGGGCAGGAGAGCCAGTTGGGGGTAGATGCCAGGTTTTGGGGGTTCCTGTCCCTGAGGTGTCAGTAGAAGCCTTTCACAGAGTGGTGAGTATGTTGTGTGGCCAGCTCTGGGCAAGTGTGCTGATGCACACTGTGGGGTGGTCCTGCTGACTTCCTGCTTTGTGGACTGACAGCATGCTCACCCAGGGGGCTGTGGGTTCTGGGGCAGGGTCACCTGCGTCCAGTGCTCTGCACGGTCAGCCTGGTCTGTGCCTCTCGTGAGTGGGGCCATCTGTAGGATGGACTCCTGGTTGCTGCCGGTGTTGCTGCCCTAGTGGAGCTGGTGCAGACTGCAGAAGTGGGACGGTGGCCTTGGGTTTCCTGTCCTGAAGCAGGTGCCCAAGGCAGAGGGGACCATGTTTCCCACCCACAGTTTAGTGTTCTCAGAACAGGGGTCTGGCCTCTCTGTCCCCCTGGTGCTGCTCATTCCAGCTGCCCCCTGCGGGTAGAGCCCTGCAGGAATCCTGGGATCCCCTGTTGGTGGGGCTCTATTGTCCCTGGAATTGACTACCTTCACTGGTGTGGTTAATACCACATGGCATTTCCTTCCTCTGATGTCCAAGGCCTCCGCTGGGAGTTGGGCTGGGGGCTCCTTTGCTTCTTGTGGGCTCCTGGGGTCCTGAGTGCCCCCAGGGGAACGTGGTGTTGACCTGTGGCACTGAGCCTGGGAACACAGGGTTTGGCCCACAGCAGTCCTGTTTGGGGCGGGCTGATGTGAGCAGTGGGGCCACTGATGTCTGGTAGGGCAGTCAGTTGCCAGTAGGCATGGCCATCAACACAAGGCGCCCCCAGGTCCAGTGGCATGTCTAGTGCGAGCTTGGGGCTAGGTAGGCGACCACGGGCTCCCAGCTGTGCAGGGTCTAATCCTCCCTTCTGGAAGGGCTCCTTGGTTCTGGGAAGCCCTCAGCCTGGGACACCCTACCCTTGGCAGAGGCCACTTTCAGTTTTGGCTCTGCTGGCTTCTTTTAGGCCACCAATTCCCTCTTGCTCTGGGCCCTGGCTCCAGCTGGCCCTCCTTCTTGAACACCTGTCCACCCTCAGCCAGGTTGCTCTCCCTGCTCCATAGCGCAAGGCAGTTGCTCCCATATTGCTTCCATGGGCCTCGCTGGACTGCAGCTCCTATCTGGAGGCAATGCTATTCTTATGTGGGGCACCTGGCAGGCCACCATGGGGGAAGCAGGGCACTGTCCCGTGGCTTGGAAGTTGGCTGGGGTAGGGAGATAGTGGGTGTGATTTCCTGCTGGTGGAGCCTGGGATGGCCTGAATGCCTACATCATAGGGGCCTCCCCTCGAGGCCCCTGACATGCCCCCAGTGCCTGCTTGCCGCCCAGTCCAGGGTCTGTTCTTGCAGATTCATGAGTACACCCAGGGCTGCCACAGTGACCAGAGCCTCGGCCATTTGTCTGTTGCTGAAACGGAGCTGCTCAGGGACCCAGAGGGTGGCCAGGAGGTGAGGCTGGGCTGGGTGTTGGAGTGGGCACTGGGCAGCAGGGGAGGAGGAGGAAGAGTTAAGGGGAGGACCGTGAGCTGTGGGTATCTCTTCATGTTTGCTGAGTTCATGGTCACCAATGGCATGGGTGACAAGCATGTGTCTTTACTGTGTGGCCGGGCAGAGCCCGAGGGGTCACACAATTCCAGGAACATGGTTGATAGGTTATAGGATGTGGCCTTTGAGCGCAAGCAGCCGTGTCCTGGTGAAGGAGAGGAAGCTTAGGGTGTGGAGGGCTCATCCAGCTGGGCACAGATGTTTGACCTAGGGACAGGGCTGCCACCCAGGCTGCACCCAGCACATGTGGGCATACTGCTTTCTGGGCAGAGGCCTCCCTAGGTGATGGGGTGTTGGGGTCCTGGGTGAAGCCCAGCTCAGAGCTCTGGGTGGCCGTGTGGCCTGGGGTGGATTGTGTCTTCCTGTCTCAGGGCTTCTGGGCACTAACAGGCAGAGTTTCAGGGTCGGCTCAGCCTGAGGCTCTGGATGGCACCCTCTCTGCCTGCGTCCTTTCCCTGGGCTGTCTGGCTCCTGCTGCCCCTGCTGGCCGCATGGGCTGGTGTTGGCTGAGTTGTCTTCCCTAACTGGGCTCTGGCTTGTTCTGGCACTAGTGGTATATGGTTGACAGGAGGGCTGCTGGCCATGACTACCTGATCCTTGGCCTCTGCCTGTGTGTCCCTTGCCAAATCCACTGGGCCCAGCTTCATTGGGCCTGCGCTTGGCTCTGGCTAGTACTGAAGTAGTGTCTAGGTGTCCTGGCATGCGCTTGGCTCTGATCCTTATTGAGGGATGACTCAGGGGGGCCTGTACTTCTTGCTTTGGTCCCCCTGGTCTTGCCAGGGGTGGTGGGGTGTGGGGCAAACCCTGGCCTGTGTGTGTGCTAGTGCTGTGGTCTGGACTGGGCCACGGTTGCTTTTCTTGAAAGGTTTGTGGAGAGGGAGGTGGCCTAGCTTGAAGCCAGCCTACCCAGAGGGCCAGCACTCTGGGTTGGCCCCAGAAGTTTCTGGAATCACCAGTGGCTGGTGTGTGAGGGGCCCGTGTGCTTCCCAGTGGGTCTGGTAGCTTCCTTTGGGCCATGGGTGAGTCTCTGGCCTCCTCCCCACATCCTTTTCATCATCTTCCCTGCTCCCCTCCCTACGGCAGTGGCAAGGAGGCTGGTAGATGAGGGGAGGCTGTAGGAGTCCTTGGCTTCTGCCTGTTTCCTTTGCCAAATCCACTGGGCCCAGCTTTGTTGGGCCTGTACTTGGCTCTGGCTGGTACTGCAGTAGTGTCTGGGTGTCCTGGTGTGCGCGTGGCTCTGATCCTCATTGAGGGATGACTCAGGGGGGCCCGTACTTCTTGCCCTGGTCCCCCTGGTCTTGCCAGGGGTGGTGGGGCGTGGGGCAAACCCTGGCCTGTGTGTGCAAGGCAGGGAGAGCTGTTGCCTTGGGGTGGGGTTGGCCAGGTTGTGCCCTTGCTGGGTGAGCCCCGTGGCAGAGTGGGGCTGGCTGAGGGCTCTAGGTTGGGACAAACTGTCCCTTTAGCTCATGGTGGTTCTGGCAGTGGACTGGATCCTGGACCCCTGCATCCAGAAGGCAGGGGTGGCTCTCACGCTCCCCCCTCTCCCCACCTCTGCAGAGACTTAGGCAGAGGCTTGAGAGTGGGTAGGGCTGTGGGCGCATGTGGATGGGCGGCACTGTGTGCTGCGCTCTGAGGGCATATCACGCATGCAGTCAGGTAGGGATGGCCGCGCCACTATGCAGTGGGGAGGGCAGAGGTGGAGGGGCCGCGTGGGGGGTGAGTGTGGAGCCCTGTTGTCCCACCTGGGTGCACGTTCCCGGCACCGGCCTGGCCCTGGGTGCCCCCTGCACCGACTTCCTTCCTTTCTGGCAGCCCAGTCTTGGCTGCGTGTCTTCTCTGCCCCAGCACCTTGGCCTGGCTCTCCTCCAGCAGCAGCCTCCTTCCTGTCCCTGGGGTTGCTGAGGCCACACAGAAAATGGGTTCACCCCCTGCCCAGCAGGCCCAGCCTCATCTCTGCCGGCAGCCTCCTTAGGGGTGGGAGGTGGAGTTCTTGGGTGTGGGAACCCACCCAGTGCTAGGCCAGGTCTCAGCCCCTGGCCCCTGGGCTCATAGGTGGGTGGTCGTGGGTGAGCCTGGTGTTGGTGTGTGTGTGCACATGCATGTGTGTGTGTGTGTGTGTGTGGTTTCCCCAAGACAAGGACACTGAGTCCTGCTGGGAGACATGGGGGTGGAAGGGTCCAGTGCTGAGATCTGGCATGGGTGGGACTTGTTTGGTGGTGGTGGGGGCTGTGTGGGGGCTGGACGGGGGCCCGGGCTGGGCCCCTGGTTCTGACTAGCTGTGACTGCTTGCAGCTGCTGCGGGCCCTGGAGTGTGAGAATGCGCGCCTGGAGGCAGCTCTTACGTGGCGGCGCCTGGAGCTGGTCTTCTGGCAGTGGATGGTAACGTGGCACAGACCCCTCTCTGTCTGGGGCCTGGCAGGGGAGGGGGTTTTCCCATTTCCCAGATTTGACTGCTAACCAGAAGCCTGGCGGTTCAAATCCAGCTTCCTTGGAAGGAAGATTGGGCAATCTATTTCTGTAGCGATATTGCCTTGGAAACCCACGGAGGGGTTGCTATGAGTCGGATTCCACTCCATGGCAGTGAGTTAGATTTTTTTTTTTTTTTTTGAACAGAGGAAAGTGAGAACCAGGGGTCCCCTGCCACTGGCTTTGTTTGGTGCCCTAATGCGCTGGGCTGGGGTTGGGGCCCGGAAGCTCACACGAGCCCCTTGATGGCCTGTCCCTCCGGCAGCCTCATTTCACAGTGATGCTCAGGAGGGCTGTGCCTCGCAGGACTGTTCGTGTCAGCCACACAAACTCACTTTCCTGACTGTGGGCAGTTGGGACATCTTGGTAGGTGCAGGCGCAGGTTCTGAGCATTCAGGTCCTCTACTTAGGCCATCTCACACCCTCGCCCACACTAGTGCACCGAGCAGACTCCTCCATCCAGGCCTGATGGCAGGTCCTACCTTTGCTGTTCAGCACCCTTGGTGCAGGCCCTAGCTTGGACAGCCCAAACCACTGCCTACTACAGAGCCCCTCTTATCTCCCCGACTCAGCAAGGCTCCCACCTCAGACAATTCCTGGTAGGACAAGGGCCTAGGGGGTCTTCCTGCTTGGGGCTGGGAGCTGGGACAGCGGTGCTGGAAGGGTCAAGGTCCCCATTCTTGGTCCTGAACTGGATACTCCATGGCAGGAGCCAGCTGCCTCAGGACCCACTGGGGATCCTGGCCCGTCCAGGGGTGATGCTGAGAGGTGCTTCCATGGTGTCCTTTTTACCCTCAGCTGGCAGCCCCTGGCTTTGCCTGTGCTTTGTCCTTGTTTAGGGGGCTCTGAAGGCCCCAGAGTTCTGGGTTACCCCTAGGTCCTATGTGGCTGGGATGACTGTTGGGGGGTGTACACCAGTGGTTCTGGGACTGGGGGCAGGGTGTATGGTGGGCTGGGGAAGACCCCCCACAGGGCTGACCTGGCTCAGACATTTCTGGTTCAGGAGTGGTGGCTTTTGAATCTCCATGGGTGCTACAGCTGCTGGTAGCTGTCCAGCTGGGGGGGCGCTGTCCCTCATAGCCTGCTGCATCCTTGGCCCCGCTGGCTATGAAGCCGGGTGTGGCTTTGGGGGCCTATGCTGTCATTCTTCTCTCACTTGGGTCTCTCTGTAGGACACAGTGCTGGATGCCTGCCTCCCAAGCACTCCCAGTGCTGGCTCACAGCCCACATTTCTGCCCAGCCTCTCTGACCACGGTCCCAGGGAGTTGGAGCTGGTGGCTTGGGAGCTGCAGGCCCTGCAGGAGGAGCTGCGGGTGGCTGTGGAGGTGCGGCGGGTGGCATGTGAGGCCCAGGTGAGCCCCTGGTCAGCGGTGTCCTCACCGTTGAGCTATCCCCAGAAGGTGTGCTTGGGGGCAGGGCAGGCACTTGTTAGAGCCGCACCATTCAGTTCGATTAAACTCTTGAGGTGATACCACACAGCATTTGGTATGCAGCAGTGAGAGTGCCTGTGTGACCCATCCCCCACTGCCCAGAGGCTTCCAGGGGCCCCTGCCAGAGTTCTTACTCCTCTTGTTGAGGCACAGAGGTCAACCAGCTGGTGGTGGTCCCACCCTAGCCACTGGCACCTGTGTCTGACCTCGCCCAAATTGGGTGTGGTGGCCTAGCCTGGGGAACTGAGGTGATGGGTCGGGCTAGGTGTCCTCTAGGGTCTTCGTGAGCTCAAAATGGCATGCAGGCTTTTAGAAGCTTGCTTCTGGATGAGGGGGTGCAGGGCTGGGCTGGCTGGGCCTTTTTGAGCTGGCCCCAGGATGAGGGCCATCAGCCCTGTGTGGAAAGTGCAAAGGGGATAGTGGGTGGGTGAGGGACCTGTGGGATGGCCTGCCCTCTGTCCCATGAGCTGCCCTCCCTTCCCACAGGTCCAGGGCTGGGGGTCTGAGTGGAGCACCACGATGCGGTCCTTGAAGGAGGCTGTGGGGCAAGAGCTGGCAGCCCTGCAAAAGGCTTGGGAGCAAGAAGGGGGCCTGGTCCAGCCCCACGGGCCACACAGGCTGGTGAGGAGTGAGGCCGGGGCTCTGCCGTGCTGGGGCCTGCAGGCTGCCGAGGCCATCCGGGCACTGCGGAGCAAGGAGGCCTGCCTGGAGGCAGCTCTGTGCTGCCTGCAGGGACAGTGTCGGCAGGAGTTGGCCAGGCTGCTGAGAGCCCTGCCAGGGGTCATCTGGCTCTCACCACGTGGACGCTGAGGGCCTTGGATGCACTGTCCCCAGTGGCTACAGGGACAGCTCAGTCACAGAGCCCCTGGGTGGTGCACTCTATCTGGGCTGTGGCTGTCCTGACTTTGGCCAGAGCCCAGCCCCTTGGCCTGCTGTTTTCTCTTCAGGGTCCTGAGGTCCCATCTGGTGGCTGTGGGTATCAGGGCCTGGTGCAGGCTCAGTGGTCAGTCATAGAGGCACTACCTTTTGTCCTCGTATCTCTGATGGTGGGAGTAGAGAGAGTGGACCTCAGGCTAGGAGGGGGAGACACTGGGCATTGGGGCTGAGGCCAAGGCTAGAGGGACTAGCCTGGTCTGAGGCACGGGATGGGTGTCAGGGACCAGCCTTGCCCAGAGGGCTCAAGGGATCTGGTGGGTGGGGGAGGGTCTGCAGGAGCCCAGGCCTCCTTGACCTGTCAGCACCTTGCCCTGGACTGCTCCCCCCACCCCCAGCCTTGTGATGTGCCTGGTGTGTGTGGGGTTGCGGGGAGGGCTTTCCCGAAGATGGCTGTGCGGATCGAGCGCGCCCGCCGGGTGGCTGTGTGCCTGGTGTGTGTGGGGGGCTCTGCTCACTTCCTGGGGATGGCATTCTGGGTGGAGGGAAGCTCACGCTGGGGACAGAGCTCCTTTGTTTTGGAGACTGCTTGGTGATCCCAGCTAGGCCCTGACAAAGAGCCGTCTGTGTCCTGATATGTGCTCCCTGCTTGCCAGAATAGTCCTCAGCGCCCCACCCCCACCAGCAGGGACAGCTAGCCTGGCCACTTCCAGCCTGATGCCGCCACCAAGCCCACCTTTTCCCAGGGCTCTTGCCCCTGGTCTCCGCCAGCCTGTCTCTGAGGGTGTATGTAGCTGTACACCTGTGCCCAGGCAGTCCCTTGCCACCCGTGGGCCTTAGGCCCAGTAAGACAGGAGCCAGGTGATGGTAACAGGCCAAAGGCCATTCCTTGGGTAACTGGATATTCCATTACAAGACCAGCATACAATGCAAATACAATACCATGCTCGTTCCTGTGCGTCTCGTTTTGTCAGGCTCCAGCCTCTGGTCCTTCTGGCTCCTGTAACCCACTGGGCCAGCTCTCGCCAGCTCTCCCCTCAACTCAGCTCGGGGTCTTGTCATTGGTCAGCTTGGCTCATCTTTCCTTGAGCAGGACTGTTGCTTGCCTCAAGCCCACCCCTCCAGATGGTACCCTTGGGACACCTTGGGGAGGATCCTACTGTCCTGCTGAGGTCCCACTTTCATCAGAGAAGGAATCTGTGACTTTTCAGGGAGGAATTTGGTTCATTGGGCCTAGTTCTGATTTCAGTCTTGGGGACGCTTGAAGATATTACTGTCCTTTCCAAGAGCCCCCAGGCCCCTCTTGGGTCCAGGCTGCCTGGTGGGGGCAGTGGTTGTGTGTGTGATGCCAGCCTCTTTCTCCTCTCTGGGCTCTTGTGACTCATCTTCCCAAAGAGCGTCCATCTGGGAGCCATCTATCCTCAGGCCACTTTGGTGCCATGTGTGCCAAATCCCTTTTCCCCTTCGCAGTTTCAACCTTTCTGTAGACTGAAGTGTTTTTTGTGTTTTTGCACTTAAAATACGGAATTGAAAAAATTAAAAATGATGGAGCTGAGATTCACAAAGTAAACCACATTAAAGTAAGCAATTCAGTGGCGTCTGGTGCATTCGTTGTGGTCCACCTGTTTACCTCCAGTTCCAGAACATTCCCACTGCTCTCAGCCCCTTGCCTGGTAAGGGTTCCTTCCTGTCCTCCTGCCCCCAGTCCTTAGAGCCCTAAGTCTGCGTTCTGTGTCTGCACTTGGCTATTTTGGAGAGTTTTCTTTCTTATGCGTGGAATGTCTGATTTCTTTCACTTGGCATAATGCTTTGAAGGCCCAGCTACACTAGCACATGTCATTACATTGTAACTTTTACAATGTAGCTTTACTTACTCCTTTATTTTATTGTGGTAAATATACATGTAACAAACCCTTTGCCATTTAAGCAGTCCTCACATGTACGGTTCAGTGATCTTATCCCTTTGCTCAAACACCACCACTCACCATTCTTGGATTTTCCATCCCTCGTGACAGATGTGCAGTGTCCCTTAAGCAGTGAGTCTTACTTCCTCGCCCTCCCATCCACCCCTGGTGACACTAATAAACTTTGACTTCTGTAGATCTTTGGTCTGTTTTAGATCTTGTTACAAAAGGGACTGTACGATCGTTGTCTTTTTGTGATGGACTTAGTTTGCTCAGCGTCATAATATTCCATTGATCTGTGGATACATATTTAGGTATTTCCACCTTATAGCCATATTGTGAATAGCACGGTAATGAACATGTAATGGACAAATACCAGTGTTCCTGTTTTTAATTATTTTGGATCTATATCTAGGAGTAGAATTGCTCGGTCATATAGTAAATCCAACTTTTTTTTTTTTTTTTGAGGAAACACCAAACTTTTCCATAGTAGCTGAGCCATTTTGCAGTCTTACCAGCGATGTATGAAAGTTTCAACTTCTCTACATCCTCGCTAACATTTATTTTCCCCCCGAGTCAATGGTGTTTTTATACTTGTCTTATTATTGACTCTTAATCCACTTGCATTTATTATAATTACTAATATATTTTGATTTTAATATCCCATCTTACTATCAACCCTCATGTACCCATAACTTCAAAAAAATTACCAACTCATAGCCATTCTAACAGGTGTTTAGAGGTCCCTCATTGTAGTTTAGTGTTTTCTTAATATTGAACATCTCTTCATGTGCTGATCTGCCATCCATGTGTCTGCTTTGTTGAAGTGACTATTGAAGTGTTTTGCCTATTTTTAAATCAGGTGGTTTGTTTTCTTACTGCTGATTTTTAAAAATATACTGCATAGAAGTCTTTTGTTGCATATGTGATTTGCATGTTTTTCCCAGCCTATAATTTGTCTTTTCATTGTCCTAATCATGACTTTTACAGAGTGCCAAAGGGGCAGGGAGGCCACATCTTCTGACCTCTAACCCCATAAGAGGAAGACAGAATCACCATCAGCAGCCCAAGGCCTATTCCTGTGAGGCCAGACATGCTGCCTCCCTCCAGCCCTTTCATCAGCACTGACACCAACCGTTCCTCCTGCAGCACCCACCACCTTTCTGCTGGGTTTAGTAATTCACTGCAGTGGCCACACACAACTCACAGAATATGGGGTTTATTAGGGAAGCAGCAGGCTACAATTCAAGTTCAGGAACAATGCTCAGTCTCAGCCCACCGTCTCTCAGCCAATAGTCGCGCTCAGTCTCTCTCCAGCAGTGCTGTGTCTCTCGGTGTCTCTCTCAGCAACATGTGTCTCTCGGTGTCTCTTTCTCAGCGGCACATATCTCTCAGGAGAGTGTTTCTGTCAGCAGCACATCTTAGCCAGCAGTCAGAGAGACTTCTGCCTCTAGAAGGGCTCCTTTTGAGCCTGGCAGAGTGACCACTAACCAATCATAACATCAGAACTCAGCATCTGAGGGAGGGTGAGCTTCCCAGAACATTGCTTTGTGCCACTCTCAACAGAAATACCCCAGGTGGATAACTTTAACAATCAGGAGCTCCTCAGTTGCTTATGGCAAATTCCACCACGGAGTTTAGAAAGACTCATGGCTAGAAAAGCCATACCACATAATTTACTACACCGCACAGAGAAAATGTTTTTAATTTTGGTGAAGTCCAGTTTATCAATTCATCTTTTATGGAGGGTGCTTCTGGCATCATGTCTTAGAACTTTCCCCCTAATCCCAGGTCATGAAGATTTTCTTCTAAAAGTTTTATAATTTTACATTTAGATCTATGATCTATTAATTTTTGTATAATGTGTGAGGGTTAGGTTAAATGTCTTTTTTTCCCCTTTTACATAGGGATGTTCAATTTGTTGTAAAAACTATCCTTCAGCTGTGATTAATAATAATTAGTAAAAAAGCAATTGGTCACACTTAACAAATGAAATATAGAACGGAACTTGCTCAACTTGATAAAAGACATCTACAAAAATCCTACAGCTATCAATAATGGCCAGAATTACTGGTCAGATGAAATCTGGTGAGACCCCTGATACTATGGCCCTGGAATACATTCTGTGCCTGGAATAAAACACACCCCCAGGGGCTGGCTCTCAGCCCAATAGTTAACAAGATGTACACACAGACCACTCAATCCAGGATGATGCACCACATACTCTATGGCAATACATCCCTTAGAGCAATGGACCACGGGACACCAGAGGGGCAACATTCACATTGAGGAAATGCAGGACAAACAGGAGTACTTAACAATGAGGGGCACAGGGGGAGGGTTACAGGGTAAGGAGGGGAGGAGACTGGGTTTAGGGTTGGATGTGGTAAATGGGGAGTGAAACTAAATTTACATGTAACATTGAACGTAAAACAAGCTCTGAAGAAAAAAAAAATCCTACAGCTAATTATACTTGACAGAAAAGACTAAAGGCTTTCCTCCTGCGGTCAAGAACAAGCAAGGATGCTGTCTTGGTTCTCTAGTGCTGTTCTAATAGAATGTACCACAGATGTATGACTTTAACAAACAGGGATTTTATTCTCTTAGCATTTAGGAGGCTAGAAGTCCGAGTTCAAAGTTCCTGCTCTGGGGGCTGGGTGAAAACCCCTCAACCTTGGGCTCTGCCTCTTGCTCCCAGCCCACTGGAGCTGGAGGCTTCTGTTAACTCAGACAGCTGTTGGCTGCTGACACTGACAAACCCAAGGTCAACAAGTAAAATGGCACAGTCTTAAGATTATGAAGCAACATGGCAGGCCACTAGTTCAAGTACAGAAACAGTCTGCAGATTGGCAGATAACATGGCAGGCCACTGAGATGAAGACTCGGCTACATGCAGGGTCCAAGTGTGCCAAAAAGCTCAAGATCTTTCTCAAAACGTGTATTGCAAGCAGACCACATCCCCAAGGCAGCTACTCAGCTGCTCGTAGCAGATTCTGCCATGGAGTTGATAAGCAGCTTCATCATGGATCACTG